TTTGATTTAAATATTGACTCAGGGTATGGTCACACCTGATAAATACGTTCTATACAGGGTGTCCGCAAAGTTGGGGTTTTCCTTTTCAGAAACAACTACCCTTGAAATAACAAAGGTAATGTGTAGTGAAACGAGGGCGACCAAGTAGAAAAGTACTCACTCTCCAGTTGACGAGAAGGGCTAAGTACGTCTCTGCCCGAATTCAGACCGCTCCAACAGAAAATGAAAACAGCTGATGCGCTACCGAGCAGACGCACCATGCCAGCCCAAACATTCACCGAAAATGTTTGTTGAAAATGTATCCGACGGACAGCGTGCGGATTTTCTACTGACCAAACATGAGTGTTGCGAAAGTTATTCACCCCATTACGCGTGAATGTAGATTCGTCTGTCACCAATATGCACTTCAAAAAGTCCGGATTATTGTCATGTTGATGCAACAACCACTCACAAAACCGGACTCTTGCTGGAAAATCGTCAGGTTGAAGGGCTTGTAAACGTTGGACGTGAAACGGATACAGCCCCTCTTCACGCAGCGTTAGCCACACTTTAGTTTTTGATACTTGCACTTCTCTAGCCACGTCTCTAGTGCTTGTTGAGGGATTCTCGTCTACGCGATTACTTCTACAGGCGTGACCGTAACCGTCGGTTGAAGGTTGCATACTGACCTGACAGACTGACCCAGACCCAGTTCTGTCGTCGGGTTGATCCAGTGACATTGTACCACTCCGTGATGTCGCGGCTACAGGACGGTATTCAGATATGTTTGATGTTGCAGAGCCCTTTTTCTCGGTTCCCTTAAGACATTGGTGTATATGGTACTAAGAAAAATTGCTTATGTTTTCAAAATCTACACGTCGTGTTAAAGAAAACCCCAACTTTGCGGACACCCTGTATATGTCAAAAATGGTCGTATTTTAAGTCACCAAAATTATGTAAGCTGTTCCCTAAGCGTGGGCAAAAGCTCAAAATATGATTTATACTGTAAAGTCATGTCGTACTTTGACAAATTTCGAAAAACAACTCGCATTGTAAAGTCGTCATAAACTGCCGGACCTGTTGAGTAGATCGAGGAGGATCTTACCTATAACTTATTCGATCGCAGGGCTAGAAAAGTTTCTTCACCCTGTAGGTATCTTCAAAAATCGTCGAAAACGAAAAGCATTATTAAAACTGGTCAAATAATGTTTGCGTCATGCCTCTCCACTATTGGGCAGTAATTTAGTTGAAATATCTTCATGATGGACTTTTGGTTGGTCACAGATAGCGCCAAACTAACAATCGATCAGTTTTCACTTCTCTAACGTTTAGGTTTGTCCTCTCATCTAGTAGGAATTGGAATCTCCACTCCCCAAAAATAAAAATATGATCGTCATACCTACAGGTGTTGTTTTATCCACTTTACAACATATAACAACTTCAAATGAAATAGGCAGGCCATCATTCAGATCAGGATAGCAAAAACTTATGGTAAAAGCACCATCCATGTTCATTTTATATTTTCTAGTCACGAGACACTGAATAATTCCGCAACTATTAAATAACAATAAACGGCGATAAATTATCTGTACAATACCTATTCTCGATTGTGTGATTTTTTCTTGAATAAACTTTTCTCACCGCCGACAAAGTCACAGTGCACAGCCTACTAACATTACAACAAATGACGATCTAGTAATGTGTTTCGACAGGAAACGAACGTGATTATAATTTTAATGACGCGCTGAGGTTTTTTATTTATTGTTTTTTCATTTCGGAAGGACGATCTTTGAATTAATCACAAGTGATCACGAGTTATGAGTAACCGGTAGAAACTTCGTCTCAAACGTCAAAGATCTGTCAAAAGTGATGTTTGCTGTTTGAATATAATGAAATAGCATCTGAAATCATTGCCTGTGTCAAATTTAGACAATAAACTGTTTCATTTATTTCCTACAAATTTTGTATGAAGATTTGTCTGCTTTTGCAATATATTTTTTTTCATTTTTGATTTCTTTATTAAGAAGTAGAGTAGTAGTTTAAGTAGAACTGGAATTACAAAGTCACATAACAACAAAATTTGTTAAAAAGAACAGAAGACTGTAAAAAATAACATTAATGGAAAAACTGTAAAATGATATTATGATTGTAAATTAAATACAAAACTTTAGAATAAGCACATCCGAACAAATTAACCGAGCAAAAGTAAACAAGCACATTGCAACACCATTATAAGAGCTCCGAAAAATTATTAATCAAAAATTATTCGATGGTATAAAACCTTTATTGCTAAAGTAAACTTTAATTCTATACTTAAATGAGCCGATGCCAGGAAGAATATTATAAATGTATACTAAGTGACATATAAATCCGAACACCCAGTTTAAATGGTTTTATTTTAATAAAATTTTGTATAAGTTCTTAATGAAGCATAATAAGTAAATGATAAAAATTTCAAAATGATTGCACTGCTTTAAAGCCCTTTGACCTTTAATAATGTGTGGATGCACCCTGATGTGCTACGCATTCTCCAACGCGCCTAGGCATGCTTCTGATCAGGTGGTCAATGTCCTCCTGTGGTATCTCATTCCAGGCAACCACCAACTCCTCTCGAAGTGCTTCTAGAGTCTGAGGAGGACGTTGCAAATTGAGCAATCTCCTACCCATCATATCCCACACGTGCTCAATTGGGGATAAGTCGGGAGATCTTGATGGCCATGGGAACAATGTGACATCATTATGTTGAAAGAAGTCTATTGTGACTCTTGCAACATATGGTCGGGCATTATCTTGTTGGAAAGTTGGATCTGCCACGGTGTCAAGATAGGGTAAAAGATGGGGTTCTAGAACTTCGTGGATATAACGCTGCGCGTTCATGTTACCTCTGATGAAGATTAAAGGTGACCTGGAACCATAAGCTATAGCACCCCAAACCATAACTCCAACAGTGTGATGAACATGTCTTTCAACAAAAAACTGTGGATTCCTCCTTTCATCACGTCGCCTTCTAACCCTGGCACGACCATCGTGCATGCCTAAACAAAATCGAGACTCGTCACTAAAGACAATACTGTTCCATTCCTGATCCCAGAGTGACCGTTGTCTGCACTACTCAAGGCGATTACGTCGGTGTTCTCGAGTTAAAGGGAGGACCCAGTGTGGCCGGTATGAAAACAAGCCAAAACTTCTCATTCGTCGGTAAACACTTCGCATGCCAATAGGTCTTCCGTGTTCTGCAAACCATTCATTTGCAATGGACCTGGTAGTGGAGAAACGGTCCCTTAAGGCCAATAATCTTAGGCGGCGATCTTCACGGTCTGTTGTTCTACGGCGGCGTCCAGTGCCCCCTGCTCTTTGCGTACGGCCTTCTCGAAGCCATGACTGACAACACCTAACCACAGTGTCTACACTTCTATGCACTCTAACTGCAATTGCCCGAAAAGAAAGTCCGGCTTCCCGAAGTCCCACTATACGGCCCCTAGTTTGAGAGGCATTTTACAATTTAGATGAATGAAGCAGGGGTATTATGTAAAAAACCTAAAATACGTCAAAAAATGTCATCTTGCAGACTGGGTAGTTTTTATTGTGCAAATAGTTCATTCCACTTTGTTCGCTATGATCGCTGTGTGCGTCATCAAAAGCGTCAGTGATGCTGTTTATTTCTCGTCGAATGTTGTCTTTAAGCTCCTCCAGTGTTCGTGGATTATTGGAATGTACTTTTGACTTTAGATACCCACACAAAAAATAATCGCAACGTGTCCAGTGAATGTCTCCAAACTTCGATATAACTATTATATATATAACTTTTTGAGGAAAGAGCGCTTTCACCGTGTCAATCGATTCTCTGGAAGTACGGGCTGTAGCCCCGTCCTGTTGAAACCATAAATCGACGTACAACAGGAGCAGAAAAAGCGTCAATCATGTCCTTGTATCGCTCGGAATTGACTGTCAACGCATGACCGTTTTCATCTTCAAATAAATACGGCCCAACAATATCGCTAGACCTTTGGACTATGTAGCTATTGTTGATTTATGTCTTTTAGGCTCGGTGGTGCCCAATATCGGCAATTTTGCTTGTTCACATAACCGTCTAAGTGGGCCTCGTCACTGAAAACAGCGTTCTCGAGTCTGCGCTGCGTAGGAAAAAGGTTCAACATCCGTTCAGCACACGATTTCCGTAATAGAATAGAAATTTATTGGAACTTTTTCAATAGGTTCTTACTTCTGGCACCTCTTGGTCGGCGAATGTTGTAACGTGTACAGAATTTCCGAAGTGCAGCGGCGTATGAATCACCACTCTTAAGGTAAGCCTCGGTTGCGCTCCGGTCCAACGTTCCATTGTGAGTATTTAACCCGCGCGCCTCTCCCCACTTCCTCGCGTATACGGTTGCCGGGTAATTTAAATTTGAAATGTGAATTTTCCCACTAGACAACCTGTACATCTATTAGCTGTGCCCGGCGGGTTATTCTTATGTTGTTCTTTCTGAAGACAGGTTATGTTCAGAGTTTTAAATTACGATTTTTTTCCATTCATCTTTTTGTGTTTTCATTACTGGTAATGTGTATATGACTTGTAATTCGACAGTGTACAGTGAATATAATTGAAATATGTGGCAATATCTAAGTATAAAATACGATTCCACATGAAGTTAATTACTTTACCAACCAGGGATTGTTTTTTCTTACCTCTCTCAATTTTGAAATTCAGCAAATTTGCATACATTATATCCAGAATAAATAAGAAAAAATAGATACGCAACTAATTTCTAGCTTTGAATACATTTCGAGTAAGTATATTTGAGACAAAAAAAAACACCAACGGAATTCAAATCAACACAGAGTTTTAGCACATAAATCCTTTAGCACGAACAGCCACAAAATGAGTTCACAATAAGTGCTAAGTTGACGACTTGTAGAAAATTCTACGTTATATCACAAAAAACCGTTAAAATGTCAAAAAAACTACGTCAAAATGTCACTTTTCACACTTTAATATCGATTGAGTAACAAAGGAAACTTACCGGCTGTCCCACTCTTCCAGACGTCGACTCCAAAGTAACGCCGATGAGGTCGTGAAGTGGCGGTCTTTCCGGAACCCACTGGAAATGAGCCGCATAAGCCATAACCCCGAGGTGTTCCACGTGCCTGTCAGCCATGTCTTTGGCTGACAGAATCGGTTGCACACCTGAAATATCAAGCATTGGATGTAGAGTGTTAATGTGGCTGAAGAAAAAGCAAATTATCAACTAGCTTCTAATGAAATGGCCACTATGAACTCTGTATCAGCATAAATTAAGTTTTTATTGCCTGGATATTGTGAGGAAAAATCGAGAGGGCTTTCTTTACCTAATCTTTTTCCTGCGTCGATGGCTTGCGCTTGGTTTGTCTCCCAGTATGCAGGATCACTCTTCAGCTTCTCTGGAGCACTGGCAGAACCACCAAGTGATCTAATCAACTCGCTTATCACTTTACCATCGTTCCAGTCGCTCTGAAGTAAAAAAAATGTAAATCCAGCTGATCTACCATACAGAACAAATATTGTAACAAGAATGAATAGTAGTACTAGCGCCATCTGTTTGAAACCGCGTCAGGGACTCTTATTCGACATCGACGCGAGATGCGAGACTGACCCCGAAGATTCTGGACTGGCCGCTATGTGGCGTACCGAATTAACGAGTACCTTCGATGCGAAATATACAATATTTTTTTGAAGACTTTTGAAGTATCCTCGTTCTAATTTGTTTTATCCAATTTAGTGTTCCCATCTCTGCGCTAGTTCTTTTACGTCTTTTTCCGTCAATTTTTCAATGAATCTTAAAGACCTTTCCAATAACTGGACACAGTCTTCTGGGGTAAAGTTACTAGCTATCCATTATTTTTTTGCAAAAACTATTTTTCCATGCACATTGAGGTTTTCGGCATGAACGTCACTGATGTAAAAAAATGAGGCAGATACATTTTCAAAGTAGATGGAGAAACACAGCTGAGACAAATCCTCATAGAGGACGACGTGGGATCTCATTTCATCTCTGACGCAGAAATACAGTATCAAGTTAATCAATGTATGTACCTACCGTAAAGTTCTTGACAGGTCGTTCCAGCCTCGAGTTGACCCATCGGAGTGTGGCATAGAATCCCGGAGACCCGGGCTTCATGAAATAAGAGAGATAGGTCATTCCAGACAGCTCATCCAGCCATGGTGATGCCAGATATTCTGGCTCTAACACTGCAGGGATTCCAAGCTCTTTCTGGGATATCTCCATGGCTCTACGGCAATTCTCGATGCCATTAGCTTTATCTGCAACAAAAATGAAACGTGAATCCGCACCTGGCAATGGTCGTTTTGCTAATATTTGCCTATACTTATGCAACCCGCTTTTCGCTAGCGTGGTTTGTGGGTTGCAGGCTTGTAGGATCTTATATGGAGTAGCGGGTCTGACAGCATTTGCAAAGCTTAAAGTAAAATCGAAAAGTGTTAGACTCAGGTTTCGTGAAATAAGAAAGATAGGTCATTCCAGACAGCTCATCCAGCCATGGTGATGCCAGATATTCTGGCTCTAACACCGCAGGGATTCCAAGCTCTTTCTGGGATATCTCCACGGCTCTACGGCAATTCTCGATGCCATTAGCTTTATGTGCAACAAAAATAAAAGGTGAATCCGCACTTGGCAATGGTCGTTTTACTAATATTTGCCTAAACGTATGCAACCCGCTTTTCGCTAGCGTGGTTTGTGGGTTGCAGGCTTGTAGGATCTTATATTGAGTAGCGGGTCTGACAGCAACTGCAAAGATTGAAGTAAGATCGAAAAGAGTTCCTTTGTCGATCAATTTCTTGATCATTGTAAGACTCACCAAGCTTTCTCCAGTGGGGGAACAGTCCAGGCCTACAGTAATCGACAAGAGCCGAAAGAAGTACACCAGAGTTCCAATCGGTGGTGAGATTGCTGACTTTACACTCGGGCAGTACTGCTTGCAGCCAAGCCAGCATCAGCTTTCTGGGAGGGAACTTCGATCTGCCTATCTGGTAGCGCACGATCAGGGACCATATCAGGCCCAGGATGAGCTTCAGGTTTCCGTTCACGATGTCCACATTACCTGGAGAAAAGGTAGAGTTTCAGGTACTCGCACAACTAGCTTGTAAGACAAAAGATCCTACATTTGTGGATTTAATTAAGCTTCAAAGTTGGGAAAATCACCCTTTACGTTCCAAAAATTCTGAAGTAGTGATATGTGAGAAAGCAGAGTTTTTTTTTGGAAAAACGCTCAGACCCGTCGATTTTGTTTTTTTCGAATGGGACACAAGTTTGGCAAAAAATCACGTTAACACGTGCAGCCCCCTGCGCGGGGGTGACACCAACCCTAAAATCTTAAATGGAAAGGGGGGTCGAGTGATACCTTATTTCAAAGGTCTTTCAATTCCCTTTATAATGATGTAAAATACATGAGCTTCAGTTCAGTAGTTTTGAAGATTTATTGATTTAAAGCTTAAAGTAGACTTTAATAGGTACATCAGATTAGTTTGTACTACTTTCAGAAGAAATTGTGAATGAGTGCCTTCAAATTACTCCTCAAATATTGCAAAATGTGCGGCAACGTGTTGAGCAAAATCTTTATTATTGAATCGATAGTCATGGTTGCCATTTTCAACATTTATTTGCCTAACGGGTCAGTTCATTCTTCATTTTTAAATTACTTTGCTGCCAAATGTATTGACCTCCACTAATGATGATGTATTTGTTTTATCTAAGCTTTAGATCAATAAATCTTCAAAACTACTGAACTGAAGTACATTAATTTTATATCATTATAAGGGGAATTAAGAGGCCTTTAAAGTAAGGTATCACTCGACCCCCCTTTCCATTCAAGATTTTGGGGGTGGTGTCACCCCCGCTTAGGGGGCTGCACGTGCTAACGTGATTTTTTACCAAACTTGTGTCCCCCTCGAAAACAAAATCGACGGGTCTGAGCGTTTTTCCCGTGAACGTATTTTATTTTATTTCACAAGTTTTCAAGATACAAACCAGTCAGTTACATATCGGCCACCCTGTATAAGGAAATTTTAACATCCCTGTTTGATCTCGTTGAAATAAGCTGTTAAATAAAAACACTACACCCCTATTATTAGCTGTACCTCAATATTACTGTATTACAGTACGAAGATAACAGCGTAGAAGTTGTTTTAATTCCTCCCCAATGAAACACGTTTTCGTCGAGATAGACAGACGCATACAAATATGGATCTGCGCTAATAAATCATGAATAGTTGCAAAACTATTTTTGACGCAGCAGCGCGTGGGAATTCGACATGAAAAACATTCCTCTGGAATACGTGTAGTAATAGCCCACGATTTATCAATGGATTACGAGACATTCTTCTATTAGATACAAAAATGCCATCACACCTAGAAATCATCATTAAAATTTACTTCGAACGCATTTTTTCCTCATATACACAGATCAATGTAGGTATACTAAGTGACATATAAATCCGAACACCCAGTTTAAATGGTTTTATTTTAATAAAAGTTGGTGAATGTATTTATCTTACTGTAAATAACAAGTGAAAAAATTTTCAGCCTTATCAGTTGGACATTCCGGTTTTTATACTGCTTTTTGTTAATTCACTAACGCTCTAAAAATGAATATTTCAGCCGCAGTAAAGAATCAACGTTGGCGGATTTTGGTTCTTGACATCCTTTATGATCGGTTACGATGCCTAGAGTACGGAGACCTGTACGATTTCGTCAACTTAGTGAGTTTGATAGGGGCCGTATAGTGGGACTTCGGGAAGCTGGACTTTCTTTTCGGGCAATTGCAGTTAGAGTGCAAAGAAGTGTAGACACTGTGGTTAGGTGTTGTCAGGCATGGCTTCGAGAAGGCCGTACGCAAAGAGCAAGGGGCACTGGACGCCGCCGTAGAACAACAGACCGTGAAGATCGCCGCCTAAGATTATTGGCCTTAAGGGACCGTTTCTCCACTACCAGGTCCATTGCAAATGAATGGTTTGCAGAACACGGAAGACCTATTGGCATGCGAAGTGTTTACCGACGAATGAGAAGTTTTGGTTTGTTTTCATACCGGCCACACTGGGTCCTCCCTTTAACTCGAGAACACCGACGTAATCGCCTTGAGTGGTGCAGACAACGGTCACTCTGGGATCAGGAATGGAACAGTATTGTCTTTAGTGACGAGTCTCGATTTTGTTTAGGCATGCACGATGGTCGTGCCAGGGTTAGAAGGCGACGTGGTGAAAGGAGGAATCCACAGTTTTTTGTTGAAAGACATGTTCATCACACTGTTGGAGTTATGGTTTGGGGTGCTATAGCTTATGGTTCCAGGTCACCTTTAATCTTCATCAGAGGTAACATGAACGCGCAGCGTTATATCCACGAAGTTCTAGAACCCCATCTTTTACCCTATCTTGACATCCTGGCAGATCCAACTTCCCAACAAAATAATGCCCGACCACATGTTGCAAGAGTCACAATAGACTTCTTTCAACATGGTGATGTCACATTGTTACCATGGCCACCAAGATCTCCCGACTTATCCCCAATTGAGCACGTGTGGGATATGATGGGTAGGAGATTGCTCAAATTGCAACGTCCTCCTCAGACTCTAGAAGCACTTCGAGAGGAGTTGGTGGTTGCCTGGAATGAGATACCACAGGAGGACATTGACCACCTGATCAGAAGCATGCCTAGGCGCGTTGGAGAATGCGTAGCACATCAGGGTGCATCCACACATTATTAAAGGTCAAAGGGCTTTAAAGCAGTGCAATCATTTTGAAATTTGTATCATTTACTTATTATGCTTCATTAAGTACTTATACAAAATTTCATTAAAATAAAACCATTTAAACTGGGTGTTCGGATTTATATGTCACTTAGTATAGTTCAACATTTTTTATTAAAAACTATCTATGCTAAGTGACGTATAAAATGCACTTAGAGATCGATTTACCGCAACAAGGTTTGATGTTGTATGAAGGGCAATAACAGAATACGCGTTGTTTTTTGACTACTCCTAGATATCATGATTCAGAATGTGAGAAGTAACCTTAATAATTAAGACTGACAGACTTGTATTTAATTTGATGCTATGCTGTATTAGAAGGAAACAACGATTCTTAGACATGGCATTTTGTGTAAGTGGGCGACAAGGTATACTTATTATCAAAGGAGCAAGATGATTGCGTATTCAAGCCCACTGGTATTATACAATAAAAGCCGGAAGACAACGATGCACAAACTAGGAACAAATAACAGTAAGTACACAGATCTTATCTTCATCTTTATTATTTTTACCGTAGCCACTCAAAAGCCGAGACAAGCTTGTTATGTATGAAAATATGTCGTACCACCTAATAGTGAATATTGCTTTTAGGGCAAGGTAAAAGTTATCAAGTGATATTTATCGGTATGTTTTACGAAATAAATACGCGTGTATCATGGCCTTCTAAATATAGCGTTGATGTCAGCAAGTTTTGTTACACATCGTAAAAAGGTAAAGATACAATGGTGTAATGACCTGCCTTTAGAATTCGGTATGAGTTATTATTTTTGGAGTACGTATTCGTTAAATTTTAACCGCAGAAGACATTATTGAACCAGCTGCTGCAGTCAGGTGCCGAATCTAGTTGAAAATTCAATCATTTTACTAGTAAGGGACACTGCACATATGTGTCAAAGTTATTAAAGTCGGATACACATACGTAGGTGCTCACCTTTTTTTATCACTCTGTATATGTCCGTAAATTGAAATGTTTACTGTTAATTTTTTATGTAATGGACAATGTAGTCAAGATTTACACAAAAAAATTAATCAACATTGTCAGTTTTTTCTAGAATGGTTGAGCACAAATGTCAACTTTTGCGATTTAAATATAGTGATGAAAGAGTTGTAAATAATAATTATGAAAGAATTTCATTTCCTGGTGTTCTTATAGCTCTCACGTAATTTATCTGCAAGATATCGATCAGCAGTACATGCAAAAAAGCGCCCATTTCAGCTGAAGAAAACTTTCACGCACATATTTTGCCATTTTTGGTATGCTTATAGATTGCTATACGATTACTCGCTGTTTCAGATAATCTGAGAATAGATTATATTTTTTGTAAATTCATGCATAATTGAATTGTATATGAAGCAAAAATGCAAACTCTGTATATCTTATACTAAGTGACATATAAATCCGAACACCCAGTTTAAATGGTTTTATTTTAATAAAATTTTGTATAAGTACTTAATGAAGCATAATAAGTAAATGATAAAAATTTCAAAATGATTGCACTGCTTTAAAGCCCTTTGACCTTTAATAATGTGTGGATGCACCCTGATGTGCTACGGATTCTCCAACGCGCCTAGGCGTGCTTCTGATCAGGTGGTCAATGTCCTCCTGTGGTATCTCATTCCAGGCAACCACCAACTCCTCTCGAAGTGCTTCTAGAGTCTGAGGAAGACGTTGCAAATTGAGCAATCTCCTACCCATCATATCCCACACGTGCTCAATTGGGGATAAGTCGGGAGATCTTGGTGGCCATGGTAACAATGTGACATCATTATGTATGTTGAAAGAAGTCTATTGTGACTCTTGCAACATGTGGTCGGGCATTATCTTGTTGGAAAGTTGGATCTGCCAGGGTGTCAAGATAGGGTAAAAGATGGGGTTCTAGAACTTCGAGGATATAACGCTGCGCGTTCATGTTACCTCTGATGAAGATTAAAGGTGACCTGGAACCATAAGCTATAGCACCCCAAACCATAACTCCAACAGTGTGATGAACATGTCTTTCAACAAAAAACTGTGGATTCCTCCTTTCACCACGTCGCCTTCTAACCCTGGCACGACCATCGTGCATGCCTAAACAAAATCGAGACTCGTCACTAAAGACAATACTGTTCCATTCCTGATCCCAGAGTGACCGTAGTCTGCACCACTCAAGGCGATTGCGTCGGTGTTCTCGAGTTAAAGGGAGGACCCAGTGTGGCCGGTATGAAAACAAGCCAAAACTTCTCATTCGTCGGTAAATACTTCGCATGCCAATAGGTCTTCCGTATTCTGCAAACCATTCATTTGCAATGGACCTGGTAGTGGAGAAACGGTCCCTTAAGGCCAATAATCTTAGGCGGCGATCTTCACGGTCTGTTGTTCTACGG